GATAGATAGATAGATAGATAGATAGATAGATAGATAGATAGATAGATGTTGAGGTAGAAGGGCGCAGATTCCCTCTGAGGGCCAGCAGAGGGAAGCCTGGTCTGATCCAAATCTATCTCTTGCAGCCGGTGGCCTGAACATGAACCTGGTCTTCGTCGTGGGGTGCCTCCTGGCCGCCGTTGGCATGGTCTGCGGCGTGGTGGCGTACAGAACCAGGAGGTCGAAGGTCAGATACCAGCCTCTGGCCTCTTGTGAGCGCTAACCTGCAGAGGCTGCAGAGCCGACGCCTTTAGCCTGCTTTGATTGTTTATCTGCTGCTCAAACCGATCATCGCTTCAACCTCTGAGAGCTCAGAAGAGGAAATACGAGCAATGAGGCTGCAGCTGCTGGAGGCTCCACAGCTTTACAGCCGAGTCTGTTTCACGCCACACCCAGACAGACAGCAGCTTCCCTGATTACGATGATATTTTCTGCACCAATCAGCAAAAACGCGGCTTGTTTTTAATTTTTGTACCCAAATGCTTTACAATGGCTCAATAAAAATACCCAAGCATTTGTTTTTGTCCTGTTTAATTCTCTCCTTTACTTCATCGACTTACTTCTCCTTTAATTCAGCTTCATTAAAGCTTTTTTTCTCTTCCCCATGTTTGTTTTTACCATTTAAGCTCTTACTTTTACAGTCTTACGACGAAAAGACAGTTAAAAAAACTGTTAAATAACAGCTTAATCAGTGAAATACTCAAATTAGCAGAAGTGTGTCAGTAAAGATGCATTTCAGGATCATCAGAGTGCTTAAAATGACACATTTTTGGTGGAATCTGTCATTTTCTTACTAACTATGGGAGAGTGAATAAACTCATCTCTCATTTAAGATAACAGTGTCAAAAATGTGATTATTTTAAAGACTAAATGTGAGTATCGTTTGACGCCACGAGGTGGCGCAACTGTTCTCTTTATTGGTGAAACAAAACTCAAATATCACCTGTAGAGACCGGACAGTCAACTTTTTCCATTTTTAACAGGAATATACAGAGTCTGGTGAAATAAAACTGTGAAATATCACCTGTAGAGACCGGACAGTCAACTTTTTCCATTTTTAACAGAAATACACAGAGTCTGCGGCTCTTTAGATGAAACTAAACATTCAGTTTAGTCTCATTCGAATATGTATTCAAATTTGTGATGGAAACTTCTGCTCTGTAAGAAATATGAAAGAATTTAATTAAATTAAAGATGAGGTTTCCTGTAAAATCTAAAAAATGGGCGTTTACATGCTTTCTGAAGGAGGTCCCTTTCAGATCCTTATCATCTGCTGGATTAGAGAGTTTTTTAGGCCCAACTCTTCTTCTTTTGTCCTCCACTGGTCAACTTTCCTCAGATGTTTTCAGGACTCACCGCTCACCAGCTGAGATCTGCCCAGTTTTCAGCCAGCAGCTCTTTGGGAATCCTCGGAAATCTGTTTCCTGTCTGTCAGTCTGTGTTTTCGTTGGCCTTTTTCCTCCATCAGCTCCAGAAACAGAACAGATGATGTGTCTCTGTGACAGGCTGCTGCAGACAAAGAGCCTAAAGATCCACTTTAAGATGCTGCTCTGCTGGTTGGACACAACACCGGCTCAGCCCTTGAGTTAGGGGCCTTTTTCTGACTCAAGTTGCCTTCAAAAAATAATTAAAATGGACTAGAAATGAGTGAAAAAGTAGAAAATGTCTTTATAAAAACCCAGAACGAACTCACAAATCCTGGATCAGTGTCATTTAGGAACACTTTAAAGGAAATTAAAGGTGGATGAAGACTATTTAAACTAATCTTCATCCTTCTAATCTTGCATCCTTTCTTTGTGAGTCTCCTCTCCAGTTTAAGCTGCTGCTTTGCTGAGTTGGACACAACGCTGGCTCATCCCTTGAGTTAGGGGCTTTTTTCTTGCCTGAATGAGGGTGAACAAAGAAAAGGAGAGAACAAGCACAAAAACTACAGAACTCCGTAATTAATTGAGTTAAAACGTAATCATAACGTATATTTAATGATTTTGAATTCAAGTCAAAGACACAAAAACAGCTAAGATGGTTTACAGATATTATTATTATTATTATTATTATTATTATTATTATTATTATTATTA